CGCACTCTCAGCTCCCAAGAACGAGAGACCAAGGCATGTCTTTCTTTTGCTCAGAGGCTGGAGCAGCATTGGGCTGCTCCTTCCACTCTGGCCAAAAGTAGACAGGCTTCCATAATATTGATGCCATTCCTGGACTTCTCCTTTGTTTTTGAAAGGAATCTTTGCCCTCTCACTTCAACACTGAAAAGTACATCTCTTCTTACCCTCATCTGGTTTCCTCTTCTCTCCCTCAAAGACCAAGAATGTACTTGTATCTTGGGGAGAGAGAGAGAGTTGTCTGAGAGTAGCTTGGCTCTCTGTGGTGAATGGAAGTTGCTCTCCTGTCTGCAGGTACCAGGACCACCACGGGTGAGGCTTATTGTGGAAACCAAGGCTGTTCATGTTTCTCTCTTCCAGTGGCACCTTATTCCCTGCCCTTACAAGTCTTCCCATATTGGGCCCTTCTGCAGTATTGGTTCCATCTTTCATTCTTGTGGAGCCTCTTTGTTTGAGAGGCAGTTGACACATGGCCCGTTGAATGGTATACGCAGCCATTCTGGCAGCAAACATTTGAAAAAAAGCCAACTCGGGTTCTAATTGGACCCCAGCCTCTGTGTGAGCTGTTGTACGTGCCACAAAGCTTCTCTGTGGCTGGTTTGTCCAAACTCTAAAAGGGAAATAGAAACCAACATAATTGGAAATTGAACCCATTGGTAAAGACTAGCAAGTAAACGTAGAGCGTATAAAAATTGAGTGTAGTGCTATTACCAAAAATGGCCATGTGGAGATAAACCACTGTGGACTGCAGCAAGATCTAGAAGGAGCTTCATGAAGGATGGACAATGTGCTTGGGGACCCACCATCCACATATGAATGGCGATACTTTCTCCCAGAACCTACTCCTCGGATTTGTCCTCCCAGTTTTCTTCCTGGGCTTCTCTTCTCACCCCTTCCCCTAAATACCCTATGCTCCCAAGGCTCTATCTTGGCTCACACCTGTTCTCACTCCATGCTCTTTCCCTGACTGATCTCACCACTTCCATGGCTTAAAGTCACCACCATATGCTGCTGACAAGTTCTCCCGTTCAGACCTCTCTTCAGAGATCTTGTCCTGTCGACTTCTTCACCTAGATGGCTCAAAGGCAGTGATACTCAGCTGACATGAAGTGGAGCTCATCATTTCTCCCTTGTCACCCCAAATCTGTGGCTCCCCTATTCTTCCCTGATCTTCAGATACTACCCATTTTTATCCTATTCCTTGCCACTGCCCTTCCAAGCCATCTCCCAGGGCTTCAGTTCATCTCCTGGCCTCCATTCCCACATCCTTCAGTCCAGCCTTTACATGGACAGCCATCATCTTTCTAATATCCTCATCTGATTGTGCCTCTGTTGCTCAGATTTCAGCAGTTCCTCATCACCAAAGACCAGGTCTACCCTCCTTGTTTCAGCATTACAGATCTCAATCATCAGACCCTGTGTGCTCCACCTTGTACTAGCCATTCTCTATCACCCACCCAAGTGTTTGCTCTGCCCCAAATGCTCTCTTGGCTCTTTGCTTTGCTAATATGCTGTTCCTGCTTCCAGAGAGGCTTCCTCACCGTAGTCTGCCCAGTGATTTCCAGGCTGCTCCTACTGTGAAGTTATCCCTCTCTCCCCAAGGGAAATCAAAATGCTCATTGTTCTGTGCCCACCTAGAACTTGGAGTTGACCTAGCACTTGTTCTACAACTGTTATAAATGTATTGTTTGAGTCAGTCATTCTCTCTGGATTAAAATTTCTTTGATGGCAGGGACATGCCTGGCCTCCATAGAAAACACTCAATAAGGGTTGAGTGGGCAAATATCAGGATGCTCACATGTGGCAAGGAAGTCAACCCAGCATATAGCAAAAGCATCTTAATCGTTCTCACACTGCATAAGAGAGTGACTTTCTAGTGTGGGACCTCTGTTGACAAGTCCAACAGAAGCAGCCCAGTGGAGGCTAAATGGCTGTGTGCCAGCCAGAGGGGGGAGCCCAGGAGGTATGCATGCCCCCAATCATGTATCAGTGCCTTCAAGAAACACCCCTACTTGTCTTTTCATTCAACCATAGCCATAGCTCTTCAGAATGAAGAAACAATGTCTGAGGTTATATGAGATGGTTCTCAGCTTTGCATCCACCTGTGGCACCTGGACCATGGGAAAGGATCTGAACTTTTAGTTAGGCTTCATCCTGGGTAGCATCTTAACGGAATCTAGCAACCAAATTATTGGAATTCCTGGCTTGGGAGGAATGGAATGGTGCGGGTGCTCACCTCTCTGTTTTTTTTCCCTTTTAATGGAGTTTTGTTTTAATCCCTGGCAAAAGAAGGTGCCTTGTCTCCAAGCAGGGGGTGAAAGATTAGTAGGCTGTGTTCTTAAGAACTGGGATTTCCTCTTCTTTCTTCATGTTTGAGGAAGGAGAGCTCTTTAAGCATGGAGCACCAAGCAAGGCATGGAGACACTTGCTGTACAAGCAGAGTCAAGATGTGCCTGCCTCAGGGAACAGTGGCCAATGGGTGCTTACCAGGAAGATATACACAAATAAATTCTCCGGAAGGCCTAACTCACCATGTTGTGAAGTTGGTAGGAAGACAACTCCCTCTGGCCCACATTTTCACTAAATGGGTGAGGCGGGCTCTTCCAACCCTCTGACAGGAATTCTAGTTGTCCAAATCTTTTGTAGAAAGGAGCTAGTACTGACTGGAGTGCTAGTCTTGCTGAGTCAAGATTTGCACCCTACTGTTCCCAACTCTCAAAACACCATATTGCCCTCTTGGCTTGTAAAATACCCACTCTTTTGATGTGATTTAGTAGCTCAGGATGCTGTTTTACCATGAGTGGCTTTTGCCTGATAAACACTAGGGCACCGGTGAAAAGTCTGGCCCATGAGATGCTCCGTACTCTGTGACAGATTGTGCCCAAGTGTGCCATGCAGTCACTCAGACTTTACTGAATCATGATCACTGAGTTTTCTGAGCAGCAATTTGGGGCTTTTCAAAGACGTGAGTAGCCAACATGAAACCTAATGTCAAAGCGTTGACAAGTCACTGGCCCCAAAGCTGGAGCTGTGGTTATTTGTTGCTCTCACCACAGAACGATCAGCATTGTTTCAACAAAAAAACATGGTGGAGAATAAAGTCTGGTAAGATGGGTCCAGGATGCCGCAGGAGGGAAAGTACCAGAACCTGAGCTGGCAGGGCCTGGAATCTATGCAACCACAGTTTGAGTCAAGGAGGACTTAAGTAGTTGGTACTATGTGCCTGGGGAAGCCTTGTCTCTTTGTGGTTCCTGATGGTCCCAGAGGGACTCTGTGCTTGTCATGGTAGAAGGAAGTGCCTAGAAGCACAGAATCAAATTGATTTCTTGCCTAAGATGACTGAGTTTGTTCTTCAAAAGGCATTGGGGATATCCAGTTCTGTTTCTCTACAGGTTCCCCTTCTTCAGCCTTCACATTACGGCAGATCGTGAGATATAACCTTACCAGGCCTACCCTCCCCTTGTAATCTTTGAATTTTGGGAGATATCAAATACCCACATTCCATAAGCCTAGGTCAGTTTCTGCGGGGAGGCTGGGCCTGATTACAGAGTGGGCCAGTTTTCTTCATCAATCCCAGTTAACTACTTTAAAAATTGGAAATTGGAAGTTTCCCACTTATTCTGGGTGTTTGTCAGTGCCTCAGAATAAAGCACTTGGCACAGCAGACAGCATCTTGTGATCAACATGGTTAGTAATGGATAATACTTGATAGGAGACGTGAATAACATTTACCCAGTGCTTTAACATTTCAAAGTACTTTGATGTCATTGTTTCCCCAGCCCTACCACTGATAGACTGTTTGGTCCTCCTCTCACAAGAAGTTGATACAAGGCAGGAAAAAGCCAGGAGGCAGGAGGCCTGGTTCTAGCCCCATTTCATCACATACCTGCTCCATGACCTAGACAATGACTTAACTTTGCCATCTGTGAAATGAGTGAAGGGTGGAGGAAGGAGATTCTAGAGAATTCTCAAAGATCCTATTTGCTCAAAAACTCTGAATTAAAAGAGCAGGGATGAGTGCTTTGTTTTGGTTGAACTTAGCAAGGTGATAATTCTCATTGATTTTGATGCAGTTACTATTTAATTTTCCCAACTCTAGAATCCAAAATGTGGGCTTATTTCCGATATGCTTTGGAGATTCTATTATCCTATGATCTAGCCAATTTGGGGGCCTTTCCACTCCTGGTATATTTGTGGTTAATATTCAAGGAAAAGGTCTGAGACACATCCAGACACATTCCATGGCCTGGAGAAATGGACCCTGCGTGCGCGCGTGCGCACACACACACACACTGGAGTGATAGTTTTGGAGTCTAGGATGCCCTTATTCCCGCTGGGGCGGAGAAAGGCAGAAGAAAAATTAGGCTAAGAATGACAGCAACTCCACCCAAGGACTCTCACAGTTGCCTGGGTGAGCTCTTTTCTGTGGAAGTGACAGAAAGAACACATGGAGAGCTACACTGAACCTAGAAGGAAATCTTGGAGAGGAAGCCTCATCCTATGTAGTTTTAACATTCTAAGTCACCTCTTACCAAATCAGTAATAAATAGTCTGGCCAAAGCAGTGGTTTTTGTCATGTTTTTGGTCATGAACCATTTTGAGGATCTTATGGAAGCTATGGATGACCTCTGTCCAGAAAACTACTCCTATATTCACAAATTGGGATATAATTCTAGGGAATTCCTGTATGCCCTGCAGCCTATGGACCCCAACGTAGCAACCCCTAGTCTAAAGTAGAAGAAGGGAGCCTGACAGTGGGAATGTCAGGGCTAGACCAAGACTTCGAAGTCCATAATTTGTTACCAAAATGGAATTGAACAAGTAGTAACATAAAGGGTTTTTTTCTTCTTTTTTCCCCCTCTGACCATCACCCTCCTGTCCTCTCTCTATTCCCACATCTTTTGTCATCTCTTCTTGTTCCCTTTCAATTTCTCTCCCCATCTCTTGCGCATCTTGCCCTGCAGATGTTCCAGCCTGGTTAAAAAGTCTCCGCCTGCACAAGTACGCTGCGCTTTTCTCCCAGATGACCTACGAGGAAATGATGGCCCTTACCGAGTGCCAGCTGGAGGCTCAGGTAAGGGTTGCAGGTGACCATTCCCTGAGAAGTTGCCCCAGATGGAACCTGAAGTTCCAGCTCAAGACAGACCTTGTTCGGACCCATACCTATCCCCACCCAGTAGCTTGCCTTGTTCTAGGAACTACCAGGTGCTGGCCCACATTATGTGGTGAGTAAGGCTGAGTTCTTATCTTCAGCATCCAGTAGGAGGTGGGGGACCAGCAGGTAACTGGAAGGAAAATAAGGCTCAGTGAGAAAGAGTGTGAAAAAGGTAATACCTGGGTGCATGCTCTAAGTTCAGGGTAGAGTGGCCTAGAAAGAACATCTGACCAAGGCCCCAAAGATTCTGGGTCCCTGCCTTTGCTTTTCCTGCCCCCTCCCTCTGTGGGACAAGGGGTTGTTTGGACTATGACAGATCAGTTGTCTGTTGTCCAGTCTGGTAATAAATCAGCTAACTTCTAGTAGTTAGTAATTAGAAGCACCAAGTCATGCCTCAGACCTTCCCCAACACTTTTCCAAGAACATGTTCAGATTGGACATAGTTGAGATCAGAGTAAGTGGTGCCAAACATTTTTTTTCTTCTAACTACCTTGAATAACATGGGACTGACGCAGAGAATGGGATTACCCCAGGTCTCTGGTTTCATTTCCCTTCTGAGTGCCATAAAAGAACAAAGTTTCCCCTTCCTTCTCAGGCATCTTTGCCCAAGTCTGGATGCCAAAGGCTAGGCCAGTCAACAGACCCCCCAAAACTGACCATGTTTCCTACCATGCTGTGCTCAAATAAATAAATCTGACTGATATCTTTGTTTCCCTTGTTTAAAATGCCATTTGCATGTTTCAAATTGACCTCAGTTTCTTTTGAGCAATGATTTAAAAGAATTACATGTCTGAACAGGCTAATATTTCCTTTGCAGGAAGAGGAGATTGTACCCTTTGGGGCAGCACTGCTCTCGACTCCTACCTCCCAGCAGATGCTGGTTTCCCATTGCATCTTCGGTACCCTCGGTTAACCTCCGCAGGCCTGGCTGAATACCAGTATTGAGATGCAAGGCAGACCCCAAAGTCACTGTACATTCTAGGAGAATGAAAAAGCACTAATTTCAACTTCCTAACACTTCTCCCACCACTTTTTGGATCTTGATTGTTCCTTAATCAATCCCAGGGATTGATGAGACCTACTTCTAAGAGCATTTTTTGGTGTTTGGGTCAGAGTTAAGAAAAAAAAAATCTAAGTCCTCAGTTATTTGACTTGAGAAAAAACAAGACCTAATTGACAGAGAGGGCAAAGCCAGAGGCATGCAGAGTAATTTAATTCACTTGAACCCGAAGTCAAGGCTAAAGAGAAATCTGCCTTCAGCACTTCATCTTAGAGAGTGAGTTCTGCTGTCACTCAAGTGTTAGTATCTCTGAAGGAGATGCCTCTGGTGTTCCCATCTTTTCCTTCTGTAAGAGGAATTCTATGAGTAGGTGTAAGAAGAAGTCACCAGAAGTTTGCCTTAGAGACCTGACTTAAGAAAGGACTTCCTGTTTGGAACTTTGCTGTATCTTTAATCAACAAGCACTGAACTAAATCCTTGGGCTCACCACTGTACACAGTTAAGACAAAATCCACAACTCTAACTGTGAATCCTCCTCATTTAGCTCAAGTGATGACTGAACAAGAGTTTTAGGTTCTTTTCTATTCTTGTTTTCCTTATGGAGACCAAAGATGACCTGTAAACTGCCAAAAATTACCCTGTGTTGTATGGTACCTGGTGAGAACCGTTACCAGACTTCAGAGATGGGAAAACCCAGGAAAGGTTTGAGAAAACAATGAAGCTCTGTATGGGATTGGAAACTTCAAGCAACCTTGGGTGGGAATGAAATGACAAAATACAGAGAAGAGTGTATAACTTTAAAATGATCGTTGAAGACAAGAAATTTCATGCTGGGTGGGTAATTGGCTGTTCTAGTTTTCTCTCTCTTTTCTCTCCTAAAGGTCACAACCAAAGGACACAGGCAAATGTATAGCCAGATGTAGTTAGAACATTTAGTAAGGAGAGGTTTGTGACTGAGGGGACTGAAGAGAGAGACAAATGGATATTTACTAGTCCACAAATGTAGGATTCAAGAAGACAGTGAAGTACTGACTAGCCTCCAGGAGTCTCTAAACTGATTCTTAAAAATATGTTTTTAAGTGTAACTTTTATTTAATTACAGAATGTTACCAAAGGTGCAAGACACAAAATTGTCATCAGTATTCAGAAGCTCAAAGAAAGACAAAACCTCCTGAAGTCTTTGGAAAGGGTGAGTGACCACCAGGGGTGGGCGTGTCTCTGCCGCCATGATGGGAAACGTCTCGGCTGAAGGTGTCATGGGTAGATCTACCTTGCAGAGTTTTTCACCTCGTTTCCTTACCAAAGGCAGAAAAAGAATGAAAGGATTTTGAAGTCAAGTTTCCTGGTTATCCACACTCCTGTGTAACCTGACCACTGCCATGTACTTACTCCCTGGGTCCAGGCAGCCTGTGACTGGCCATTCTAGGAGACTCTGGCTTCAATAGAAGGCATCGGAATCACTGGGCTGATAAGCACTTATCAGCTGCCACTGTCTCTTTTTGTTTGCTGCCTACACAGGTTCTCTTCCTATCTTTGTATCCAGACATCGCCCTTGTACCAGTATCATTTTTGGGATTTGGTGACTTTATGATTTCATCTGAGGTGCAAAAGAGAGCAAGACTCATTCCTGTGTTGCCTCTGCCCCAACCTGGAATTCTGGTGCAAGCACTGCTGTTGGGAGGTGGTTGGGATTGGCGGGCTGGAAGCTCCGTAGGCACGTGCTCCCTGCACAGCCTGAGTAGTGATGTCCTCTCGCAATCCCAGGGTGCCTTTGGAAGGGAAGAAAGTATGGAGCTTGGTGGGGCTAACACAAGTCTGTGAGCACGTAAAAATTTTGTAATGCAATGGGAGTTTTTTTTTAACTGATTTACAAAGATGTGTGTGTATAATTTTACATAGAATATATAAAGTTATCCTGAATGCATATCTCATAAAATATAAAGTAACATATACTTACAGAATATGCATATGTAACTTTATAAGGAAGGTGGCTTAGAAAGCCTTGGGAGAGATAGACGGGGAGAGACTACTCACATGCATGTCCGTACTGAGAGGCCTGTCCTTAAAGTGAATCACAGATGACAAGCGACCTATCTGACTAAACCCAAGGTTATTCTTAATTCTGTTTTATATACCAAGCAGTTTGTCTGACTGAGTGATTGTTGCCATCTTTAATATAATAACCCATTTTGTTGTTTACCATGAAAAAGCCAGTTTTCTCTGTCTCTGTTAGAAAGCCCAGGAAGTGTTCTGCCTAAGGACTAGACAGCTGAGTATTATGGCGAGAGAGGGATCAGCCCCCTTTATCTCTGGAGCTTCCCTCAGAAACTCACAGGAATGCTGTCACTGAGGAAACACAGCGACCTGAGGGACAGAGACAGGACCGCTGTTTGTTCTACTCCCTGTGGCCTTGGGCCGACTCAGTGTGGAAACACAAGAGCAGCAAGGTGGCACAGGTGGCCTGACATGCCGCTCACTTTCTGTCTGGCCTTTGAAAAGCCCATTGCCATTTCACACCTTGAATAATATTAATTCCACAAAAATACCTTCTGCCAGGCTCACTGGAATGGGAATTGTTAAAAAGATGACAAAAGTCACACAAAGTCTGAGGACCGCTAATGGCCAAGAGAAAAGAAGTAAGGAGTTTATTTTGACATCTTGGGGGAAGAAAGCTTGTGTGTGTATCAGACCAACGCGTTGACCTTGCCTCAGAACATCTGAGCTCAGACACCTGTGTGCTCATCCCTTCAGGAAATGATGCCCTGGGGGTAGGGATCCTGCATCCACTGAGGACTCTGGCCCTCGCCTCTGTTCTCTCTCCTCTCGGCCCCAGGGCCCTCCTGCTCTTGGAGGGAGGGATCTGTCCCTACTGTGTTACCACTTAGATCTCCTCCCACAGACTCGCACCAGCCCTTTCTCTGGCATTCCCAGATGTCCCGAGCTGATTATGCTGTTGGAAATGCTGTCATCAGGCCCCTGCCTACAGCATTCTTACCTCACATAGAACCCAGAGATTTCTAAGGAGATAGCTGGGACCCCGCCCGTGGCTAGTTCATAATCAGTAGTCGCTGCAGGTAAGCTCTAGGTCCAGAGCACTTCCACTCACTCGCTGAATACGTACTAGGCAGCTGCCTTGGACTAGATTTACCCCCACCCAACCAGAGACTAACCGTGAGTAATACAGAAATACGTGTTTCTTGCCTTTGCGGAGCTCGGATGCATGTTGCGACACAGATGTGTCACACAGACATTGCGGTGCTCTCACAATCCCCTGTGATCGGCGCCATCGCCGAGGCTGGTTGGAGATGCTTCCTGGGATAAAACCAAGCACTCTGCTGCGGGGAGGAGGAGGGAGAGCATGGAGGGGCCGGCACGGGCTGGAGAACCCAGTAGGAGCCTAGAGCCAGCCTTGGTGGTCCCTTGAGCTAAGGCAGGGGGCGTGAAGGTGGAGAGGGACAAGGGAGGTCATTTAGCAGAAGTCCAGGCATTGGCCTGGGTGCTGTGCCGTTTGAAAACAGAAAAAGTAGGAGGAGTTGCCAGGGCGGGAGAAGCGGAGGTCAGCTGGACCTCCACAGATTGTCTGAGGTGCGAATGGGACACTGTGGTGCAAAAGGCAAGTTAGTGGCCAGAAGGACAACGCTGGAGTCCACAGGGTTTGAAAGACTCATTGTGGTTCATCTGTGTGTAAATGTTAGTTGGTTTCCCAGAATTGTGTGTTGAGTGGTAAGAGCTGAGGACAGACCCTGAGGAGCACCAGAAGATGGAGGGACCAAACAATGCCAGAGGCTGAGCTGCCCTGAGGGTCAGAGAGAGTGTTTGCAGGAAGGAATCCCATTAGGGGTCCTGAATGTGTCCCATACCATGAGGACTGAACACTACCCACCCCAGCCCCCCAAAATCAGCCACCGGCAGGTCACTGGTAGCCCCTGAGAGGAGGGTCACCAGGAGAATGGAGGGATAGAGCAAAAACCCATGAGCCAGGGAGTGTGAATGGGTGAGAAGGTCATCAGGGAAAGATGTCTGGTGGAAAAGGAAAAGAGAAGATCAGACTGGTTGCTGGGACAGACTTTTCAACATTGATCTCTGATACTAAAAATGTTTCCGCATGCTTTTCATTCACTGTCTTTTTTGCAACTAACTTCCAAACTGTGAAGCTGGACCCTTCCCTGGGAACCTGGCCTGGAGAAAGGAGACACACACACACACACGCGTACACACACACACACACACACACACACACACACACTCAGGCTGTGTTCCCACAGCTCCTGGTCCTGGCAGCATGCTCACACTGTATGGGCCCAGGAACGGTAAGCATCTTAGGGCGAGGATTCTGCTGTATTTGCTTTAGGTCCTGGCTCCCGGTAGGGCTCAGCTGGGGTCTGGTGAATGAAAGGTGGCGAGGGAGCAGGTCTCAGCCAATGCCAGCCTGCTGTCTCCTGCATGACAAGTCCAGGACTTCCCACGCAGGGGGAAGGGTGGGGCCACAGACAGTGCGTGAGTGCTGGGATGCTGGCTGCCCGAGTCCTGTCTTCCAGGTGATTTGCCCCTTGCTGCCGTCACGAGCCCTGTGAAAGTTTCCAAAGCAGTCTTCTTCCAAGACCTAAGAAACCAGGGAAGGGGTGGGTCAGCAAGTAGCTCCCTTTCCTGCATGCAAGCCTGAGTTGTGACCCCCGAGGTAAGCGCTAGGACAGGTCTCATGGTACCTGCTCTGCCGTGAGCTCCTCGGCTCTGCCCGTTAGTGAACGGACAGCTTCATTTTGCCTCTTTGTGTTTATAATGTAGGATTATATTTATGGTCTGAAGGATCAATAGAGACTTGGGTTGGTTCCCTATTTTTGTCAACATGCAGAATTAATTCCTATAGTGAGTCGAGGACACTGGAGTGAATCCCACTCAGGCCATTTTCTAGCTTCCTTCCCAATCTGGGCACACAGTGTTGAGTTCTAGAATGGATTTTGAAGGGTCATACGTGTAACCCCATGGGAGCTGGCCTAAAGGGCATTGTTAACTTGTTGGTAGCCAGGTGTTTTCTTGGAGACACTGGTTTGAAGGCAGTGGGTAGGAAACAAAACAAAACAAAACTCTTCATGATTCCTGATAAGATATTTTACAGAGAGCATCCGTCATTATTCATTAGGATTCTGGATTCCTTTCTGGGGCGGTTGTCTCCAGTGGAATAAAATGAGATTTGAACTTGGGGCACCTGTATGTTTCCTGTTTCTAGGAGTTCAGCTCTTAGCATAATCAGAATCTGCTTCCTCCATCACTAAGTGACTACAGAAGCCTTCTGGCAGTGACAGGAGTGGGCGGGGGTTGTTTGGTGGCAGGTGACAAAATGTCACCTCAGTGGTCGCCGGCACATGGGGTAGCATGGCACGGAGGCATGTGATCTCCCAAATAGGCTGGCCAGCTCTGCCTACTCAGCCTCACTCTTTGAGGAAGCTTCATCCCTTCTCTCTCCTTTCCCCCTCCCCTGGCTCAGTCAGGGGCTGGACAAGATCAGAAACCCCCATGTCCTAGGCGCCAGCTATGCAGTTGGCTGGAAGTGGAGGACCTCGACACAGGGTTTCGTCAGTTGACACACAGTTGAGTTGGGAAAGACAACAGGTGCTCTCCTGCCGTGGGCCAGCTAGCTTACCTCCATCCACCCTGCCCAGGTGGATCACCACGTCCAAAGTCAAGGAACCATTTGCGTGCTGCCCTGTAGACTCTGGAAGAGGCTGGTCCAGTCCGGGCAGCCGGACAGCTGGGAGTGATCAGGCGCACCCCCCCGCCCCCGCCCCACCGGGCTCCCACATCAGGCTTGCCAGCTCAGGCAGTAGGCTAGTCGTGACCTCTGCCGTATCTCCCAGGCTTACAAGGAAGGCAGTGGACTCAAAAACCCTTCTCTTTAAAAGAAAAATGGACCCTCTCCTCTAAAATAGGCTGGACAGTAGCCCTGAGCAAGACTGAGACAATCCTGATGGCTACTTAACATTTCACTTTCCTCAATAACCCTGAGTGCCAACTCCGCTAAGCGTCTGCCTCCAGCGTCCTGAGCAAAGCAGGTTCCCTCCGAAGACGGGGCCGGGCTGTTGGTGGTCTTCTTGCCCAGAACTGAAATGTTGCCTGTCCAAGCCTCCCATCCCCAGGTTTCCTTTTTCTAATTGACTGATTGGGAAGTCGGGATGCAGATGTGATTTTGTTCCGTGGGCTTGTGTTCCTTGACATCCTTGACATCGTCCAACAATTTTCCCAGGAATGGATTGGTACTCGTGCTTCAGGCTTTTACAGCAACGTCCTTGCTATTCTGGGCTCTCAGAAGACCAAGTACTTCATTAGTAATCAGGGCCCCAATTGTCAGTGTCCTTCCTGGGTCCCAGGGAGAGGTTTGCTGCAGAAGCACTGGGACAGCAGCGGGGCAGAGGGCCAGGCCACTCACCATACCCAAAAGACTTCCAGGACCTGACCCCCGGCCCCAAGACTCAGAGCCTGTTCTGTGCCTCCATGAGCATCTGGGGCACAGATAAATGTCAATCAAAATCCACTTTCACTCTTTTTCTAATACATAATGGCCAGTAGATCAAACAGTAGGTACAGAAGGACCCAACTATATTCTACAATATATAAAGCCATTTATATATTATAGATAACTTCAGGGGATCCTTAAACAACATGGGGTAGACAGGCACCACCCCTGTGCAGTTGAAAATCCATGTATAACTTTTGACTCCCCCAAAACTTAACTACTAATAGCCTACTGTTGACTGAAGGCTTTACCGATACCAAGAAGAGTACATTAACACATATAGTGTGTTATATGTATTATATTCTGTATTCTTAAAGTAAGCTAGAGAGTAGAAAAAGTTAAAATCGTGAGAGAAAATAAATTCATAATACTGTACCATATTGATTGAAAAAATCTGCAGGTAAGTGGACCACACAGAGTTCAAACCCACATTGTTCAAGGGTCAGCTGTATCCTATACACATAGATTATACATATTTCTCTCTAGAACGATTCTTCGAAAGCACGTCACTCCCCTGCTTGAAACCTTCCCTGACGTCCCATCTCATTTAGAAACACTTCAGCATTCATGCCTCTGTGCTCAGGCCCCAGTAGCAACTTGGACCTGATTTCCTGCCCTCTCCCCTCACCATCCAGCTCCACGTCAGGCCACCTTGCTCTGCCTCACACGCTCCCGGCAGGCTCCCGCCTCAGCCTTTGCCCTCACTGGGCCCTAGAGTCTGTATCCTTCACCACTGCCCCGTGGTGCCTGTGTTGGGGGCTGAGTGAAGGTGGGAGTGCACAGGTTCCTTCCTGTACAACAAATCATACGCAGGACAAGACGTTACCGCGTGACCCAGCTTTCTTATACAGCTCCTAAAGTCTGTATCTGTCAATGATATATATGCTTTTTCTAGAAATTCACTGAAGAAGCCAGGGAAGGAAATGTGCCACATCCTTTTAATGATCACCTCTAGATAGTGGGATTTGCAGGTGCTGCAAATACGGATATGCCTATCCGTATTTTCCAAGTTTTCTACCCGGGCTAATCAAAGACGATAAAATTAAAGTGATTGCACTTCCAAAGAATGTTGCGATGAAGGGGTCAGCCGCTGGGAGTCCTGTCTGAGAACAGCTTGGGACAGGGGAGGGGAGGCACCAAGTTGGGTCACCCCTGTTCCTGCCGCTAACAGAGGTCTTCTCCCTCTGACCCTCCAGGACATCATCGAGGGGGGCAACCTGCGCGTCCCACTCCAGGAACTGCACCAGATGATCCTGACTCCCATCAAGGCCTACAGCCCCCCGAGCACCACCCCCGAGGCTCGCCGCCGGGAGCCCCAGGCTCCGCACCCACCCTCGCTGATGGGCCCTGAGGGCCAGAGCCCTGATGGCAAAGACAGTGCCTCGGCCACCGGGGTCCCAGCGACCACCTCGGCTGGGGCCAGCGGGGGGCTGCAGCCACACCAGCTGAGTAGCTGTGATGGGGAGCTGGCTGTCGCCCCGCTGCCGGAGGGGGATCTCCCTGGGCAGTTCACACGTGTCATGGGGAAAGGTAGAGCCTGATTCTCACACCTCTCGCCACTCCCCCCCTACCTCCAACACCACTAACTAGAGCCCTGGGTTCCTGAGAAGCTTTCCCAGAGTGCTGGATAAACCTGTCGGGGTAGAGGCCATTAGCCCATTTACTGATAAGGAGAGTGAGGTCCAGAGGTGGTCATTTGGATCTGAACTCTGATCCCTCTAATCCCCAAAGGCCTTTCCTTACCCCAGTCCCCTTGCTCTCCCACTCCCTCAGATCAGGGCTTGCTGGGTCCACCTGGTAGGGTGAGTGCTCGTGGGGCCTTTGGGCCTGCGGCTGAAGTCAGCCCTTGGGCGGAAGTCAGCCCTTATGGGAGACTGTGCCTGGCTGGCACCATGGCCATGCCTCATGCCTGTTTGAGGGCGGGATAGAATTCTCATGTGGTCCTCTGGGTGAGAGCACCCTTTCCACCTGGACTGCCCTGGGCCTCCCCTGTGAATGGCACTATGATTACGTGATTATCCTTGAAAAGTCCCAACGCTAGAAGAATTTGTGCTCAAATGCGGTGTTGCATGAGAAAATGTGATTATGTTAAAAATGCAGTGAATGCCCATACTTTTCCTTTGGAAGGAGAAACAATTTTTTCTTGATTGTCCAGTCATTTTTAAGAACCAAGCTTTTACCAAAAGAAATGGACACCTGAGTTTTACAGGTGCAGTGAGAAACTCCCGGTGTATACACATCCTAAAAAAGACGTCCAGCCATAGAAATCTGGTTCAGAGATGACCTGTGACATCCTTTTGAGGGGAGATGCCAGTAGCTTGATGGCCAGGGTGGGTCCTTGGTCTCCCCCCACTCGCCTCAGAGTCCTGACCTCCCACCCCTGAGTGGGCTCTTCGCTGTGGGGGATTAGAATGGATGACCCCAAGGGTGAAGATACGTGTGGGGGTGGATGCCTGAATCCACCATGGTGGTCCATGGTGGGCTCTGTCCTCAAGAGACCCAAACTCCTTTGGCATGGCTTCTTTTTAAACTTTGGCTACTTTCAAATAAATTATAAAATCAATTCATGCTCAACATAAAAACTCAAAATGAAACAATATGATGGAAAGTGAAAAATAACCTCTCTCCCCAAGTGCCACCCTCTTCCCCCACAGAGGCGACCACTCTAAACAGGTTTGGACTGCCCCTCCAGAAACTTCCTAATAGTCTTAGACAAGCACACGAGTATCCTTTTTACCCACAAGCAGGTGTTGTTTACATGTTTTTCTGCAGCTTGTATTTCTACACTGTATACTTTCAATATTTCTGTCACTACCATGGCACCACCCAATCTCTTTTTCCGAGGTTGCATGCTGTGTTCCACTGTACCCATAAGGCATAATTTGACAGGGCCCCGGAGAACGGACATAGAGACGGTCTCCAAATTTTTGTTAGTACAAACAATGCTGTACTGGGAGTCTCTGTGCAAAGATAGGGTATAAATGGGATTTGCAGAATTCTGCGACAGAGTGGGTATGCAGAATTAGGGGGAGAAAGGAATCGTGATGCCCAGGTTTCAAGCATGGTCTACCTGAGTGCAAGGCATTTTCCCTTCTAATGGACATCTTCTGTCCAACCACCTGTGCCATGACCTTCAAAACACCCCCATGGAGATCAGAGCATCAGAGCCTCCAGGACGAGATTCGAATGGGCCATACTACCGAGGCTATGGGAAGCTCACAGGGAGGGAGGGGGGCGGCAGTGTGCTCTACCTGCAGACCCGCCCTTCTCTGTCTTTATTACTTCAGTTACTTGTGTGTATGGGCAGACCAACGTGTGTGTAAGTGTGTTACCGCTTTGAGAAAATAACCCTCCAGTAACCGAGTAGCAGGTGTCCTGCTCGTGTGCGTGCCCACAAACCTCGTGTGCTAGAAGATGTGCCAGAGCTTCATGCCTCCAAATGAGGCACGCAGTTCATTCATCAAATTACGGCGACAGCGCTCTGATAATGTCCATGGTCTTTGATGCCTTTGAACTCCCTTCTCAAAAGGAGCCTCTTTCTGAGAGAGGGCTCAGGACATGGCCACATTCTTCTTCTCCCAGAGTGTCTGTCTCAGGCTGGATTGCAGAAGGCTTAATATAGAATGGTATGCCTGGAATTAACCGAAGGGGCTTCTCAAGGCGAGGGCTCCCGTGGTGACCAAGCCTTTGACTTCAGTGGAATGAGGAGCCTCCTGGCCTTTTTTGTGAACCTTAGGTAAAACCACAGGCACACATACCTTTCAAGATATTGGTCCTGAAAGGAAATCAGGGGCAGATCTTGGAGGTTAGAATAGTTATACATGTTTCTAATTCATCTTTTCTTTCTTTCTTTCTTTTTTTTTTAAACTCACAGTGTGCACACAGCTCTTGGTCTCCAGACCTGATGAAGAAAATATAAGTTCCTATTTACAGCTCATAGACAAGTGTCTAATTCATGAGGTGAGTAGTAATGGGTTTCACAAAACTGTTTTTCTCATTGCTTAGGAATGGTTCTCAGAGGTTCTGTGATGTGATCCTTTGGGTCTCCAACAACTTGTTTTTGAAGACTAGACAAGCATAAATAATACCTGGGCAGAACTCAGCTATGATGGTTTCAAACCTAAGCACAGCTTGTAACACGGTGGTGTCTAGAAATTCATCTAGATAGAGTTCTGATGTTGGGGTGAATGCCTGAGAGAAACTTCGGCTCTAGAAGAATCCCTGAGTGACCAAGCCTGAGGTGAGAACGTCCAGCCCTGCCACCTCGCCTTGGCGTTTCGAGTCTTTTTAAAATTTTCTGTTGAAACTTTTTGCCTTTCAACTCAGGGAAACTTGGGGGAGGGTTGGGGAGTGTACAAAAGAAATAATGTGTTTGTGTTTATGTTCCATGTGGTTCGATTTGTGATTTTTATGGGAATCGTGTTGAGCCACATGTCCTCTGGCAGGAGGACCGAGGCAGGCTGGAGCTGTGCCCCGTTAGACTCAGTGTGAGCGCCGTCTCCCTGACAGAGCAGGGCAGGTCCTGGGGGCTGCTGCTGGGACAGCCACCTGCCTGGCCGGCTGCCCCGAGGCGCATGTGCAGACAGGGGGTGTGCCCCAGACCCGAGACTCTAGTGGTTTTTTGGGAGCACCCCCTCCAAAGAGTCACAGAGACAAGAATCACAGTGTAGGCTTTAGAGAAGTTTAAGAGCACTGAGGTCTTTGTGTTGGATTTTAAGGTTAGAATAAGATGGCAAAGGCCCCCCCAAGTCTGCTCACTGTTGCTGGGTTGGCATCCAGAGCTCCAGAAGTGCGGTGGGCCCCAGCGAAAGGAGACACACAGGGCAGAGGTTTAGCCCCCTCACCCACTGCCCCACTCACATTGTCCCCACCCTCCAGCTGCCACACAGGGGCATCTGTCCAAGGCCAGTTCGTTGGGCCCTCCACCATTCCACGGTCTGATTACCCACCGCTCATGAGCATGGTCTCCTTCTGGGTTTCCTTCCCAGCCACTGCCCCACAATCCTCTAAACTCTCCTTTATGCTATTTCCTCTCTCAGCAGTGCAAATTCTTATGTGACCCTCCCCTCAACCCCCAACTCACCCTTTGGTGTTTGCAGTCCTGACACCGCACATTTCGGCCAGCAAAAAGCACCAGGAAGACGAGAAGGCAAGGGCACTTAAAGAATGGTAGAACGCATTCATTCCATAGATCTTTATTAAACACGTAGGCCCTGTCCCCTGGCTAGGTAGCTTATGGTGTGAGGGTAGCGGGGAAGACTAAAGGAGACTGGGTGATCACACACGGGAGGCTGGGGCTCTGCTGGCATCCCACAGAACCTAGATAAGGAGCCAGGCCACCAAACCAGGAGCCGGAAATGGCTTTGCCTCAGAGGAACTGCCTCCAAGCTAGGCACAAAAGGGAAGCCGAGTCTTGGTGTGGTACAGACTCATTGCATAAGCAGGAGGGAGCGCTCCCCTGTGTCTTACTGGGGAGGAGAACATTTGGAGTGGGTTTTGGGGGGGACTGATTAGGGGAGGATCTAAACTTTCGTAAAGCAAACTAGAACCTTGCATGTTCTTCCACGCCCATGCTCACATGGAGCCTTCCAGACACCAGAGAACAAGTTGTAAGTTACTTTCTGTCTTGCCTCAAGTCTGCTGAGCCCGTAAGACAAAGTAATGAGCCCTCCAGCGGCATCCACTGGACAGTGCTCATGCTTCCTAATTGGATCCCGCCAGCCCCAAAACTGTGGCCTGATCCTTCTCACCTTCCAGCCATCATGCATGCCCTCCTTGGGCAACCTGGCTCTCCTTTCCATTTCCTTAGAATATTTAGAGAAATTCCTGGTTTTTTCCTCGCTGCGTGCCCAAGTGATTAAATGCAAAGATGGCACCATGTAGACTCATCTGCTGGCAAGAGACCCTGACGGCAGTAGAGGGACCTCTGGCTGATGGGAGTCCTGGGTCAAGTAGAGCTCATGCCACGTCTGCTTGCCTGCATTCATGTCAGGATGGAGGGGCCTGCACTCTGTCTTGGAAGGGAAAATGTTGTACAAGACTTTTATTATTTTAGTTCAAGAAAGAGGAAACATGTCTGAATAATTTTCCACAGGCTTAGGATATTCTGTGTGGGGAGCACACTCCCTCCCTGTGAGGCTCCATGGAGGCATGACAGTCTCCATCCTGGCTGAATTTCACCTGGGCCCCATGAAACAGGACTCCCTTTCACAGCCCAAATAAGCCATTCCTTAGCTGACTGGATGGGAGAGGATTGACCAAACCTAGACACCTTCCTTCCTCCCCAGGGACAAAGGGACCAACTCTGTAGAGTAACAGAAGAGAGAACAGAAAAGTTCTGACTTTCATCTCCTGGATTATAATCCCCAGCTTCTTGCCTCCTCGCCATCCCAAGGAGGTTCTGTGGAGATGAGCTCTTGCCCGTTTATGAGCCCTTTAATCCTACACGAAAGTTGTAGGGTACATCCTAGCCATCTTCGTCCAGACAGACTCATTGGTTTGGCCCTGATAGGGACGGAGGACTTGGAAGAGGCCGACTGGCTGTGTCAGTGTGTTGTATGGATGCTTCTTCCCCTCCACTCCCTGAGGAAGCTATCAGCTCAACCCAGAGCTGCCAGTGGAATGGCTGAAGTGAGGTGTCAGCCATCCCAGCTGGCAGAAGAGCTCCCACAATGGAGTGCTACTTCTCAGGCAAATGCAGGCAAACCAGCTTTTAGAAATCCCTTATTGCCAGCCATGACCTCTAGCTCCTCTCCAGGCCTCCCAGCTACAGCCTCCAAGACCGAGAAGTGGCCACCACACTCATTCAACATGGCCAAGTGCCTGAGTCCTCTCTGCAGCCTGGAATGAAGTGAGCGTGCTGCCCTGTGTTGAGTGAATGAGCTCACTTCTCCGGGTGGTGCTGGGGTTTAAACATTTCCATCTTCTTGGACGGTCTTTGCCACCACGGGAGATGTCCTGTATGAACTGGTGTCCTTGGAAGCACTTTCAAGGCCTGTCTATAAAGTGAGCCATTTCCTCTTTTGTCCCTTGGAAACTCAGGCCAGCTGTCCTTCAAGCTGGCTCCAGACCAGCTTGGTATTGTAGTTTTGAGAACTTGAAGTCATTTATTGGGGCTAAGTGTGATTGCTGAATGCCAAATGTGACAAACACTCATATACCACCACCAAAGGTCTGGTCTGTGTGACCACAAAAACCTGAGTAGAGGATCTCTGAGCCGCAGTTCTAAGTGGCTCATTACTAAGCCCAGGCATGTCCTAAGTATTCTAAGTGTACCTCATGTGTTATCTCATTTAACCCTTACGACATCTCTTGGAGGGAGAGAGTATCCTAGGTTTTTAGAAGGAACTGAGTGTCAGGTAAAGGAACTTGCATAAGAATGTGTAAGGATTTAGGCCCTGCTTATATCCATCCAGAGCCTTATTCCGACCAGCTGGGCTGGACTCTCCTCCCCAAGTCATCTAGATCAGCACCTCTGCATCCTGTGTTCTCACTCCATCTTTGGCAGAGGAAGCCAGTCAAAAGCAGAATCTATCTACCCCTTTCTTTATTCGGCGAGTAGAAATGCTTGCCTTTCGGGCTTTCAGAGGTACTCATGTATAGTTGGACCCTCACCAAGTGTTGCCAACAAATGAGAAGGGACCACAAAGTAGAACCGTGGCCTCACCTTGTAACCATGAGACCAACCCACCATGTACTTTGTGCAGTGTCTGCGCCTCTTGAAGGAAGCACGGAGTCCCTTGGTTGGGTAGCCCTCCTTGATGAAGATCCTTAAAGACATCGGGCTGAGGTCCTCCAGGGGGAAGGGCTTTTTGCAAGTCAGTAATTTTTTCACAACATAACATCTTTTTGCTTTTGTTCTCATAGCTCTCCTGTGTTTAGGTCCTTAAAGATTAAATGTCATCTGGGAAAAATTAAGCTGTCATGTTTTCTCTGTTTAAGGAATCTGTTTCCTTTATGGGAAAGACCCATATAGTCTATTACTCCAAGTTATAGTTTATTGCTACTTAAAGGATTTCATGTCTTATTGACAAAACTATACGGGTATGTTCTATCACAGTTACTGCTAATCAGAGCTGCAGGCTCTCCCACAGCTTGTGGACCATGGTTCTAGGCACCTGACAGGACATTCCTATATTGGATGTAGGGCCCTCAAACCATCTAGAATGCCACATGCCCATGTTCCATTGGCAATGAAATTACCAAGGCACTTGCTGCGAACATCCTCTAGACTCTTGTCCAGATGTATTAAATCAGGGAAGGGACCTAGGAATCTGCATTTAATAGTTTTCTTAAGGGATTCTGTATCCCAGATTTGAGCCTCTCTACCTTGGGGACTCACAACTCCTGTAAAGTCACTGCCCGGGGTTCAGTGTATACAAAAGTACATGCGATACAGATGACGGTGTGTTATAAAGCAGGCAAAATACCCCTCAGTGCCACTTTTACTAAAAAAACATGTGAAAAGGCATCAGATGTACCTGTTTCCCTAAACTTTAGGAAAAGTTTTGGTCAGGATTGGTGCACTGGAGTTTTTTTGTAAGGCACGGGGCCCCTTAACTGGAGATTTCTCAGCAAACCCCGTGCGCTACAAAAACCCCAGGGCACCAATCCTGGCCTATGGTATAGTATAGTGTAGTGTAGTGTATAGCGGAGACTATGCGCCATTTTTTGAAAGCCTGAAGACCACGCATGATCAAGCTGATTGATTTTTGGAGTGGTTTAGCATTTCCATTGATTATGAAAATGAAAGGGGACCCTGCAAAAGCCAGATTATTCAACAGTCCATTTTTACTATTCATTCTTGGTTAATCTATAGAGTCCAGAGTAAAGTCAGGAAGGAGGCGAAGATGAGTACAGATCTGCCAGAAATGCAGCCAAAAATAAGCGTCGAAAGCTTAATGCACATACTTTACCAGGCACCTCCAACGGCAAATTGTCGGTACAGGTGGCTCCCGAGTGAAACTGACTGCTGTTTGGACCAGGTGGGAAGCAGGTGAAGCAAAGGCAGCTGCAGGACTCTGATGTCCTCCCCTATTAATTGCGTTTTCCTCCCTGTAATGCCAGGCTGCGCCACCCATTAAAAAGTCCTGTTTGTTTTTTGCAGGCATTTACAGAGACTCAGAAAAAAAGATTGTTGTCATGGAAACAGCAGGTGCAGAAGCTCTTTCGGTCTTTCCCTCGGAAAACCCTTCTAGACATATCAGGATATCGACAGCAAAGAAAGTATGTTGGGATTTCATTCTTCTTAATGCACGGTGGTGTTTCCTTAGCTGGCTGCTGCCTCCCTGGGTTCCTGTGCAGGACCATGGCAGGGCACCATTCCTGGTCCACAGGATGCCCTGTGGGGAGTTCCAGATCCCACTCCTTCAACAGATGGAATTGGGAAAAGGCTATAGAGAGAGAGCGTTCCCAGAAAAAGAACCGCATATGATCTTTCGTAACGCATTTTACATGATCAAAATGACAGCATTGGGCCAGATGGGCATCGAGGGGGAGATGGATACAGTTGAAGGAATTGCCTGCAAAGCACTTTGGGGGTTGTCTGCAAAAGGGGGCCCTGAAAGGGACAAAAATGGGTTGTTCCAGCAGCACTTTCTGAGGCAGTGTCATTTCTTTCTCCCTTCTCGCAGCAGACTAGCTAATTATAGTTGGTGGCAGGGTGAAGAGCCCAGTGCTGGTCTATTTTGGTCTGAGCTGCAGTCCCAGAGTGAAGCAGCACCATTCTTGAGTTTTCATAGTACTTCCGCTTCTTGGATGCGGTTAAAAATAAGCCTCGTTGTACTTTAGAACCCATTACCTTAATCTGGTTTTAAATGGAGGAATCCGATTGCATATTAGAGGTGAATTACAGCGACAGTCCGGGGGAGGAATTTAGGGAGGTGTGGGGTGAAGCCTTCAGCAGTGACAGGCAGTTGGGGGGAGACAAAGGATGACAGTACAAACATCGTGAAAAATCAACTCTCTGTTTTACATTTTTAAACATGAGTGGATAAATAATTTTTCACCTGCACCTGAAAAGTTCTGAATTCATTTCTCAATGTGCACAGAGAAGCTCTGTGTCATTAACAATTTTGGCATTTATTTGCAGAAGTGTGTCTTAAATCACCACTGTTTTACATCATCTGGGGGAGATAAGGATAGCTGGGATTTATGGAAAGTTTTCATTAAAGATTAATGGAAAAGTTGAAGTGTTATCACCTGTGAGCATACATTACACTGTTATTTATTAAACAAACATTTAGCACTTCCTGTATGCCAAGTGGTATCCAAGCATTTTAGGAATATTAATACATTTAATCCTTGCAACAACCATATGAGGTAGAGTTGCTATTATTAACTCCCATTTACAGAGGACTCGGTAGGCAGTGGGTGTCCAGGATTTGGACCAGGCAGGCCACCACCAGCTGCAGAGTCCGTGCCTTTAACCCACTACACATGCCAGGCAGCCCTCATGCTCTCCAGTCAATGCGCAGAAAAAACCATCAGGCAGAGCGGCCCTCTCATGGCAACTCCCTGGATCCGAGCTCTCTGGGGTTGCCTTCCCTGGGGAGATGGGCTGGGACCACCTGTGCACTCTGAGGATTCCCAGGAGCCCAGGTGAAAAGCAAGACACGCTAGTAGGCCTCTTGTCCTGGGGACTGCCCCCTTCCCAGGTTCACTCTCCCTTCTTGTAAGGGCAGTCATACATCTCTGAAGCGAGAGGACGAGGTTCCAGACCCCTCTTACACCACCAAGCCCTCGGGAAACATGTTGAAAGAGGAAGAAGGAATTTAGAGGATAAAGAGGAAGACAGAGCTTTTGAGCTCTTTGCTTCTCTCAAAAGTGTCATCGCCTGCCTCTGTCAGCTCTGCTCTGTCCGGGGTGCATATCGGAGTTCCCCTGAACCCTGAGCTCTCTAGAGTGTTACTAACGTGTGTATTGGGCTACCCAAACTTTGCCATATTGGAGTCTTGATGGACTTGTTTTTATTGATGAGATAAGAATGAATTCAATCATCAGTTGTGGAAGTGGCTAAAGCTCTAGAAAAATCATTTGTTCTCAGAAGTATTACTTCTGGGGTCTTTTTATGCTATTAATTTGCTTTGAAGAACCGTTTCTCCCATAATACAAAGGTAACTGCCACCCAGCCCCTGCCTGAATGATCAGAAATACCAACTTAATTGGTTCTTATTAATCAGCCTGTCTGCGCATTTCAAGGTAATGAAGTCATTTGGCTAGATTTAGGGAAGCAGAGAAAGACACAGATGGGCAGAGCAAAAGAATGAGAAATGAAAACTTAACTAGTGTCACTTTGTTCCCCTCCCCCACCCCCGGAAAGAATGATTATGTCATTAAGCCTAGTGGTCTTAAGTAACCCTCAAAACTCTGGCTTTGTAATAACCAACTAAGGGTGTCACAGTAGGGTCCCACAGCCATTAGAAAGATGACCTAGCCAAATTCTACCCCCGATCTAGTCTGATCCCATAATGTTCTGGGCTCTACCTGCCACATACAGCCCAGCTCATGGGTCCTAGCTGTAGGAGTCCCTGGAGCCCTGGTTTCAGTGACTAAGTGTCCCATCACAGAATCTTCTACCCACATGATATTGCTCGAGGATATCATCTTGCCTTCCTGGAAGCACAAATCATTTTAACGTCACCCACTGACTACTGTATTTTGCATATGAAATAACTTTTTAAAAATCTGACCAAAAAAGAAAATGAGCAAAAAAGCTATCTGCACTAAATAAGGAAAAGTCTTAGAATACTGAATCATCTGCCAGGTGGCCAAAGGACAAGTTTTCATCGCTTAAAAAGCAAACAACCTTGATTCTTGTTTCCACCTGTCATGGAACTCAGACTGTCCGTCCTCCAAAAGAGGTCTCCTAGATCGTACGATCTAGGAGCTCTTACCCTCTCCAGGCCCAGATTTCTTCCAAACCAAAAAATTTTAATGTTCATAAAAAAAAAAAGTGGGGGAGACCTAGAACCCATTAGTACCCTCCTCACTACATGTAGATAAGTCCCTGACAGGAATCAGGAACCCTTTCCTTTGCCTCAAAAACCTAGAAGTGGAAAGACACAGGTCCAGAAATCAGTTGCTGCCAGCTCACCTGTGGAATTCTCTTCCCCACCCCTTTTCCCCCTAGGAAATGTAGGCATTCTGGGGAGAAGAGAAATATTTTCTGAGATCACCTGTCTAATGGCTTAGATGCCCCCCCCCACACAATTCTCTTTCACAGGATATTACTATTTTGCAACACCCCCCCCCAATCCCCATTAAATTCTTCAGCTGGTTAAACTACGTCATCCCCGTCTGCTGGAGTCCCCTCACAGGCTTGGTACGAACCTCCCCTGTGTGGCTGGGAAAGCAAGTCTATTCCATCTTGTGGCCATTGGAGGTAAAGCATTTCGAGTTAAACATCAGTGAATGACTAAAGCTGACTCTGCTTGGAAAGAATGTGCTGGTTCTGAAACCCTACTGGCTGCTGCGTACCGTCCCGGAACCTGAAGCATGTTGGAGAAGGAGGAGTTCTTGAGCGCTGAGGTCACTGGAGAAGTGGGAGCACGGTGTCCCAATGCCATGCCACGGGTCCATGGCGGCCTCCCTGGGTCCATGTGGGGAAGCATGGGACCTCCCCATCTTTCTGCAGCAGGGAGGGCCTGTGGAGTTGGGGAGCCATCAGTGTCCTAGGTCCAGAATACTTGCAAACATCATCATCTCTGTTCCCCTTCCCAACTCTCAAGCTGGGAATCAGAGCCCCAGACATGGGGTCCGCGCTTCCACAGGGAGAAGCATCCTGATGGCAGAGATGAATGTCCGTTCATTCACTCAGCCTGCATTCACTGTGCAGAGAGCCAGCGGCCTGGGCCATGCAGGACTGCTGAGAATGGGTGCCGTCTTTTCTGTCTCAGAGCTGCCATCCTAGCGGGGCTCACAGGCTACCCTTTCCAAGTGTGCTACACAGACATCAGAAACAGGCTGTGGTGTGGCAGAAGGTGCACGGATCCCGGCTCTGCGCTCTTGCTCTATGTGGCTTTGGGATGGGCATGTGAGCGCTCAGGGTCCTAGGACCCAGCAGGCAAGACCGCTGAAGAGCACCCCGGCCAACCTCCTAGGCTCGTATTTCAGCGCTGTCCCCTGCTGCCCGCGGGACCTTTGCAAAATCAGAAAGCACTCAGTGTTCATTCTCCAGCTGAAAAAGGGGATAGGGCACCTACTTCCTAGGGTTTTCATGAGGACTGGAGAATCAGGGTCAAAGTCCCAGGATGGTGCACATGATAGTCCCTCTCGGATGTCTCTTAGCTGTCATCTTAATCCTAGCCTTTTCCTGCACGCAGCTACCCTGTGCCCCTAGAGAGACCTCATAACCGTCAAAATGCAAGCAGACTCCGGGAAGGCAGCCCACTGGCAGCCTGGGGTTTGGGAACTGCGCTGGGTGGCTAACAGCCTCTCACTGCTCTCTCCCCTCTCGCAGCCGCGGCTTTGGGCAGTCCAACTCCCTCCCGACAGCCGGGTCTGTGGGCGGTGGTATGGGTCGGCGGAACCCTCGCCAGTACCAGATCCCCTCCCGGAACGTCCCATCTGCCCGCCTCGGCCTCTTGGGCACCAGTGGATTCGTGAGCTCCACCCAGCGCAGCACCGCAGCCAACCCCACCATCATGAAGCAAGGAAGACAGGTTGGTTCTGTGTCTGCGGAGTGGGGTAGGCCGCCAAGCTCAGGGCCCCAGGCTTCAGGACCTATCCCTACATGACCCCACGGTGAGCACAGAGGCCAAGGAGGGCTGCACTGAGATACAGGGGTCCCTGTGCTCGAAAGTAGCCAGTGGTTTGTGCTGTTTCTCTGGGAGACCGAGCAATCCCATGAGGGCACCCAGCTTCATGGGATTTACTTAGGATGCCCTCTGGCCACTTTAACCTTGGTGGCCCTGCACATAGCACCCTGTAGGAGGAAATGCAAGACCTTTTATGTGCCCCTGCTCCTTGACCTGCCCCAGCAGAACACACCACCTCCAGATCTGGGTTCCAGAGTTCTAAGGAGCTTTCTTAGCCTTATTCACCGCGAAAAGCTCCTTTGTCACCGTCCCAGCTGTGGTGGAGAATCCAAAGAGGAGTCTGAGAGAGGCTGTCAGAGAAAGAGCTGGACATTCTCCACCTGTTCAAGGCCAGGCTGTGTGATTTAGATTTGACTTCTGTCCCACGGCTCCCCACCCACCAGTTCTGTTTCGCACCCTGCGCAACACCTTCCATATGTGTGCCCAGCTTTGTGGGTCTCCGCAGGTTGGCTGGGATTGGAGGGGCACGAGTGGGTCTGCGTTGTCATGAGAAACTAAGGGATGATTGGTTTTAAAACAGGAGAACAGCTCCAGGGAAAATGGGCAGGATTTCCTCTCCAGAGCATATACCACAGGGTCTGAGAAAGCCCCACTTGCTGACCGTTGTGGGAAGCCCCACATCAGTTCAAGAGGAAGTCACCACCAGGACACCCGCATAATAAAAAACGCGAGCTCAGTGTGCCAGCTCAGTGCCAGCTGAAAGATTCTTTTTTCTCCCCCTCGCTTTGTAGTAAGTTGTAAGAATCTCAAAAAGAAAATCAAATGAGAGCCCCAAAATAGTTTGTGCTCTTCGTTGCAAACATTTATAGAACTCTTCCCATCTCCGAAAAAAAGTGATAGGAAAAGCAAAGGCAACAAAAGGGATAAAAAGAGTTTTGGAGATCGTGAAGGAGAGAGCTGTCCAGATTAAGCTGGGGTTTAGAGAGGCCTGGGGCTTGGAGAGGGGAAGAAAATGAATGGAATCTCAACCCCCCTCTCTATAAATATGTGGATGGGCAGCACGAGCCTGAGCCTCGAGCCCTCTCCCAGAAGTTAGCAAAGAGTTCTTCAGGGGTATCTGCCTCTGGCATTCTGGCTGGCGGCCCTGCTCCACACCCCTCCCCAGACCCCAGGGTGTGTGGGCTAATGGGTCTCCCCCTTTGTGTTTCTCACTAGAACCTGTGGTTTGCCAACCCTGGGGGCAGCAACAGCATGCCGAGCCGCACCCACAGCTCAGTCCAAAGGACCCGCTCGCTGCCCGTGCACACTTCTCCACAGAATATGCTGATGTTCCAGCAGCCAGGTAGGGCCCTGCACTTGGTCTCTCCCTCTCTCCTCCCCCTGACACACAGGGGAGGCCAGGACGCCAAAATAGATGCCCCTGTGAACCCAGCCGGAAAGTGCTTAGCCTCAACTGTCACCACGCATTCTTTTGAGCTTATAGAAGCCTTTCCTTTTTTAAAACTGTGCCTTGCCAGCATGAATAGCGGCTGGTTGGCTGGGAGCCAGCACATGGAGCCCCAGAGTCAGTTGCAATCTGACGGGGATATTTTTGATACTAGTCATATTTCTAGATTGATTAAACCAAAGATCTCACTGGAGGGTATCTGGGGGAGTTGCGAGGGGTTCCATGTGCAGTGTGCATGTGCGTGTCTATGTGTGTGTTTTTACTCTGGGTGTATGTCAGGGGGATGTGCAGAAAGTGAAACAGAGACAGAGAAAACTTTCACGGCATTGACGCTAAGAGACTTACCCCTGGTTGGGGAGCGCCTTGCAAACATGACTTCTTGGACCAGCCATCTTCCCTTTACTTGGTTAAAGAGCAGCGTGGTCACTTCAAGTCAGCGGCACCTCTCACCACACCTCCTAAAGCAGGGTTACCAGAGCGATGCACAGACAATGATCACTTGCACACTTTGTCTATGAGACAGCAACCTCTTAAGAGTCTGTGAGTAATATAGAGCCATCCAAACAATGACTGAATCTAGCTTGATGACTTTCTAAGTGGGAAAATCAGACAGGTACAGGTGTTGTATCTGTAGGAAAATACCCACCCTAGGCAAGAGGGACGCTCTGTACAGCAAGTCTTACAGGAGTTTGAGGAAAGGAAATGTCGCTGTGGCCTGGGTGGGCAAGAAAGCTTCTTGGAATTGGAGCTGAGCTTCAGGGGACAGAGAGTGAACACGTGGAAAGAGGAGGGTGGAGTTGCACGCAGAAGGAGACAAGGGAGCAAGACCGCAATCATACCAAGTACCTCAGTGAGTTCCAGAAGCCGTGGCTGAGCCAAAGGGTCAGGCTGAAGTAGCAGCGAGTAGAACAAGGGAGCAGGAAAGATCCTGGCTAATGATGGGGGCTCTGAACCCAAGGCCAAGGAGCTCGGACCCTAGCCACTCTCAGTGGTGAATGTGTGGAAGATTCTGAGTAGGAGTATGCCTGGTGGAGTGAGGGAAAGGCAGGACGGAGATCAGGAGACACTGAGGAGGAATGGCGAGGTAAGGTAAGGTGTGTCAGGAAAGGAAGATGGTCCAAATGCTTGTTTAAACTTGCTTCTTGACTTCTAGAACATTTACTGTTTGTGCATGTTTGTTTTAAAATGCCTTTGATACTTGTAGCTTCCTGGGAAGAAATATTTGATGAAGTTGTGAAGGTCTTCTCCCTGGGTCTTGTAGTCCCAGCCTCTGTTTCCATGCAGAATTTGGTATAATCCACTTCCAATAAAAGAGAAGCTAGATGAGATTTGAAGATATCCTGGGCACGAGGAGATCTTTCACCTTGAATGTATCCTTCGACCCTAATCTCGGGCCTGGTCCTGGGACGACATACCAGCCACCTGCAGCTTCGTGGGAGGCCTAGCACAGCTGACCATTCTCCTTCTCCTTCAGTCTCTATACACCTGTGGCCTCCTTGCTCCTTTCTAAGCCCCTGTCCCTTCCTTTGGCTTCTTCTAAGTCCTCAGTCCTCTCTTCTCACCTTACTTTCCCCCACGTTCTCCTGTGTGAATTGGGAAGACCAGGCCCACCAGGAAGAGCTGGGCCATCCCTAGGAGGACTCTTTGAGTCTGTAGATACATATCCTTCATCTGCACCTTTGTTGCTTGCTAATGCTCAGAACAACTATAACCCTAAGATTATTTCCACCCTCTTGTTCTTACTGTTAAAAAAAAAAAAAAATCAAATAATATAGAAAGGCTTTTAAGGAAAAGTGACTGTCCCCTTCCCCTCCCCCTCCCAGCCCCCAGCCTCATCTCCCAGAGACAGCCACTTATAATTATTTTCACTTTTCCTGGTAGTTAACTCGAAAGTCTCTAAATGATGTTCTTTATAAATGGGACTTAGAACTCCAGAACGCTTGGGGGGTCTTTTTTTTTAAAGGAGGGGTTCAATTATTTGCATAAGTAAATAAATAATAAATTATAAATTATTTATTTGCATAAGCAAATAAACTGGTGAGTACTGGGCAGGAGCCACTCCTAAGTCCTGCCCAGCACATTGAACCCATGCTGGGTGGCTCTTCCCAGGGCATGGTCATGAAGAGCAAGGCAGGGCACAGCCACGACTTAGGGATTCCTGGCTGAAGGGAACAGACCCTGCACAGAGTCACTGCCATGGGAGGCTCCCCAGTCTCCAGGATCATTCCTGCCCCTGGCAGATCAGACACTGGTTTTTAAGACCACAAGTCATGAAGATTTCTTCCTTGCTGACCGAGGCTCAGCCGCCACTGAGATCCAGTCAGAGAGGATCTCAAAACAGCCCGGGTGTAACACCGAGAAGCTACAAAGGCTCCTCACCATCTGGAGGGCCTGACAGGAAGGGGCTGAGGGACCAGAAGCCGACATTGAAAGAAAAGCCTGAGGAAGGGCAGGCTGGGCAGTCTCACAGAGTTATATTCTGGGGTTCTCTTCCTTCCTACACAAAACCATCTGCAAACTATCCTTGGTGCTGCACTGCCCCAGATGTGAGATGGGTAATAAGGTGCCTTGCATGGCAGCCGATCATGAAGTATCGTAGTTGTTCGCCATAGCAGACCTCCCCTATGCACCAGCTCGTGACTGTATTTCTTCCACCATTAGAATGCTGCATACCGGGGAGCACAGTGCCCCAAGCTGTTGTCATTCATTGCCTCCTTCGTGTGAGTTTCTCCCTTTCAGAGAACTGCCTTTCAAAAGAGTGGGGAGAGGGAGAGTGCCATGCAAACACTGGGTCCATTAGGGAATGGAAGGGGCCACTATGCAGAGGAAGGGACCAGAACAGGGACCCACTCAAGGTACCTGGTGCATTTCTGCTCTCTGCCTTCTGGTAGGCCAGGGCAAACAATTCCGCTCAGGTAGAGAGGTTGATGAATGACTCAACTGTATCACAGCCAAGAACGCACCTAGGCCGTGCTCCCCTGCCTCTGAAAGTCCAACTGAGAGTGACCCAACCTCTAGTCTAGGTGGTACCTCTAGTCTGGAGACCTAGACAGTACAATATTGTCTTATATTCTCATCATTTTTCATGAAAGTGTGCATTCTAGAGGATTTTCATAGCAGAGACTTCTGCAGATTTAGGAATGAGGCCACCAGCGAACACGCTGTGTTCCCATAGCAGACTCAGGGTTGCGACTCATGTTGCTCTGCCACTCGCCACGACCGCCATGACTGTCTCTGCGATTATCAGCGTGGCTCTCTTGCCCTGACCACACTGATTTCTTTTCCTTCTGTGACTACCCTCCCCCGTCCTGCTTGGTTCCCATCCTCCCTGTCTCCCTTTCTTCCTTATACCCCTTACCCCGTCCGGATCCCACTTCTCCATCCTCTGTCCTGTCCTCCTCAGCCTCCCAGCAACCCCACTTTTCACTTAACTTGAAGCTTTCCTAGCTATTCAACAAGTATCCTAGGCTGTTGTTGGCAAAGTTGAATTCTAGTGGTTTTTGCTAGGATACCCCATTTCTTTCTCTAAAGTACTGAAGACACTGGCCTCTTTGCCTCAGCCACAGGGACTGGGAGAGAGCTGCAGACGGCACCACACATGCCACACGTGTGAGACTCAACTAGGATGGCTGGTTTCTGCCAAGAAAAAGCCACATGGGACCCTCCAGGTGGACCCTACAGAAACACTTCCATTAGGCATGGGCGGCTGCTCCCTTCCAGAATCTCCTTGCCTGCGCACAAGGCTCTCTACTTATGGGACTTCTGAAAAGGCACAATTTAAAAAGTCCCAGGTCAGCCTACACCCTGGGCTTCCTAGGACGGAGGACCCTTACTAAATACTGGAATGTTCTGATGGTCAGGGGGAAGATTCCTGGTTCTCAGAGATGTCATCTGAGTTAAGGAAACAGGCCTGCCTCCAGCAACAGCAGAGAAGGCTCAGTCTTTCCCTTTTGCCTTACTGAAGACATAAAACTGCATCTGCCTGGCCCATTACAGCTGGGGACCCAGGCTCAATGCAATGAGCCTTTGGGGTAGCAGGAACCAGAGCAGGAGCTAGCCTGGTGTGTCATGTGTGCCTGGGTGGCAGGAGCTGCCCAAATGCTTCCCGGGGCTTTGAGAGTTCTGCCCACCCAAGCCACACTTGGCTGAGGGCTTCTAGCCTGAGATGGAAACTGTTATCTACCCAGCTGGTCTCTCTCTGTCTTGTATGTGTGGGGAGATGCCACGGATCTGTTTTTATCAAATACACAATTAAAAAGTCACACTATTAGGAAACTCTGGAGTGTGAACATATGGGCTTCTCCCAAGACTTAGAATTTTTCGGAGCCTCTCTGAGAGTGGTGGGGGTCGCGACACCCTGGCGCACCAGAGGGAAGAGCCAAGGGAGAAAAAGCAACCGTGCCAACTTTCAACCTAAAAGAGCAGCCACTAAGGTTTGGAGATGCTAGAGCGGAGAGCCCCGCATTTCTCAGCCCCCTTTTTTGAACACGCAGTCCTAGGCTTGGAAAATGGCATTTTGCTGTGTGTTGGCAAGAAATCCTGCAGCTGAAACACTTCTCTCCAAATGTCGAGCATCTTTATTTATCCAAATCTCTCCACAGTGTTTGTTTAAAGGGGAGTGCTAGAGAGTAAACTAAATTTTACAATGAGCATATGGATGGTTATAATTGCTGAGGGTTTTTTTTTTCATATTTGCTAACTGGCTATATATAAAACTGTGTTTCTATTTTATAGATTTCACACCCTGAAGGCTGCTAATTTTGCATGCATATGATTTTCACATGAATGGATGAAAATACTAAAATACTCTTCCCTCTGGATTGTCTGATTGCCCCGACCCTACTCTGACAGCAACAATGGGTGGCGGTGGGAGAGACCCTTCCATTCTCCCTGGCTCCCAGCAGCCCCCCTTCCCGGAAAGCCCAGTCATCCTCTGTTCATGAATTGGCAACAGTTGCCTTTCAAACCCATTGATGCTGGAACTTGTGTCAGAAAGAACCCTGTCTGCTCCCCAGTGCTTTTCTTATTGATCCATTTTGCCCATCTACTCAGAATTTTAAACAACAGAAATGACATCTGCCTCTGAATTAGCCGGTGATGGGGAACACAGATTGCAGAGAAAAGCTAAATGTGTAGCTCATCAAGGAAAACAAATACTTTGGTTTAGCCATTGGTTTCAACTTCCTATCCCACTAAACCACCAACCTAACCTCATTTGTCGTCCCGTCCACCAGCCCCAAGTGCCCTCTGGTGGAGATTCAAAGGAGCGAGGAAATGGCCTGAAGCTTGGGCCACCAGGATCCTTTCCCCACTTCCAGACTGAAGAGGGAAGGCCCAATGAAGAAGAGAAGTTTCCCAGAGTCACATATGAAGACAGTGGCAACCTTGAGATTCCCGGGCCCTCAGAACACTGCTGATTTTTGTCTGTCCCCTAACCCCCACTATAGGATTTCACAGTTCTTAGCTGTCAGAGTTTCCATCTTTTTCATCACTCAATAGACATGTGTGAAGTGTGCCAGAAGACCATCGCTGGAATTAGGGGAGGTTCAGAAAGAGATAAGAGCACTGTTGCTGTCTGCAAGGTGCTTCCAAGCCAGTGAAAGACACTCAAGAGCTTCCCAGGATGATGGGGGCTGGGGGAGAGGGACGTACTGACAGTGAGGGGCCCAGCAGAACAGAGGAGGCTCCTACTGAGATAGGGAAGGCCCAGATGGTAGAGGAGGCTTTGTGACTATAAGGCACACAGCCTAGTCCCGGGCAGTGAGAACCTGCCCAGCGGACATCTCTGACCTTCTAAGTGGCTAGAGGCAGCAAGGACTGACGAGCAACTTTAGTCGCTGCAGCATGCCGGAGAGAGCCAGCTCTGGAGTCAGACCCCTGTGGGTTCTGTGGGTTCTTGTGTTAGCCAGCCAACCTGGCCAGTCACTCTAAGACCACTCGAGAACTGTGCCATGCTGTGGTTTCTGTTTCCTTGTAACAAATCAGAAATGCACCAAGCCCACTTCTAGGCACGGGGAGCAGCAGGGCCAAGTCCTGCTCCAACGAAGTGAACATGGAACTGGGAGCAGGCAGCAAATAAAGAATGGGCCAGATGTTGGTGACAGCTGTGGGGAAAAAGCAAACAGAGGAAAAGGAATAGGGCTGGGAAAGTTCTGCTTATCTCTAATGTCCTTTCTAAAGACACAGGAGAGCCAGAGATGTGAAGGCAGGGATAGAGAAAGTCATGGAAGTATCGAGGGACCACCATTCTGGGCAGAGGGAACAGCAGTGCAAAAACGGGCAGAAGAGGTCCTGGGAAGGAAGGAAGGGCAAGGAAAGCTGTACACGGGGAAGGGTTAATAAGGGTCCGATCATGTGGGCCTTGCAGGCCATGGCAGGGGGTTGGCTGTTACTCTGATGGGAAGCTGCTGGAGGGTTCTGAGCAGAGGACTGACAGACTCCGACTCTGACCAGTTATTTTTAGTTAGCAGTTTTCTTCCAGCTGCCCATGTTCACAGTGGACTCCGTGCGCCTAACAGACTCATAGGTTGGTTGAAATCAGAGTGTAACTTGCCTCCATGCTGATCCTCAGAGCTCCCCTAGTTGTCCCAGGGTGGACGGGGTGGTGCCCCACAGCACCGTGCATACCTTCTCCTTGTTCTCAGAGTCTCTGTCACCAAGATAACCCTTTGTCCCTTGCAGAATTCCAACTTCCTGTGACTGAACCTGACATCAACAATAGGCTGGAGTCCTTGTGCCTCAGTATGACCGAGCACGCCCTGGGAGGTGAGTGGGTCCTCCTCGCCTTTTACCACATGCCTGGGAGAACTAGCAGCCATCTGCTGTCTACATTCTGGCAATAGCTCAGGAGGAATGGGAAAGGCATAAGAAGAGGTAGGCAGGGGACAGAGAGAGAGAACGGCCTTAGGGTGCTGTTGGATCTTTGTCAAGCCATACCACACCGAAGAGCCCACAATGCCCTGTTCCTTCTTTTCTGGGAGGTGAGTCAGGGAGCCGGAGACCAAGGCTGTCCCTTTTTCCTCAGAGCCACCCACCCAGTGCGCTCTGAGGTCCTACCACAGCAGCTGTCCCAGCCAAATGCTGGGAGCTGGAGGAGTCAGAAACACAAGACATGGCTTTTAGTGGCAACATCCCCCCCGCCCCCCGCCGCCGCCCCAACAGAATTGGATTCTTTCCTTCTCGGCACTAGATCTCCCCGTCTGGTCCAAGCGTATCCCAGCTTGTTCTAAAAATAGAATTTTTGAAACAAAAATCCTTGTTTTTACATCTCCCTGCTCCAAATGGTTTCCACGATGCCTGGAGCCCCAAGTAGTCTGAGACGTCCTTCACAGTGTGACAGGGATGGTCTAGTTCCATGTGCCTGCGGGCTGCAGCCCCGCAAGGAGCTCCAGAAGCAGCTGGGTTGTCCCCTGTCCGTCTGGTCAAAGCCCTTTGTCATCACTGGAGCCCCAGGAGGCCATCAGTGCCCTCCGGGTACTAACCAAGTGCTTTTCTCCAGCCTGAACTCTGCGCCAGCCCTGGGGATGTTTGGCAGGCAGAGGAGCAATGTCCACCCCTTCCTGCCAACCTCCGGGAGGCTCTGAGTCAGAGAGGCCTCCTGTGACCCTTCCCAACAGTCCTCTCCAGTTGGGATGCGCTCACTCTCCCTGGAGATGGGCAGTCAGAACACCTAAAGCCAAAATGTGCGCTCTCTAGCCGTGGTGGGGAGAAAGGCTGCTGTCAGCTGCTGCTCCAGCGGGCTTTGTCCTCCTGACCAGGGACTTTTAGATTTTTAGTCCCTGCAAACACAATCTTATCCTGACACCAAATATGAGACCAACAGGTGCTCAGCATGGAGGAGATTGGAAAGCAAGGACTGCGCCTACCTGACCTCAGCTGTGCAGGGCTCTCCACGGCCCAAAGAAATCCTCCACTCAGTACCAGAAGTGAGCTATCCCAAGGCCTCCCAGAGCGTCTGACTGAACAGATGGTGGGAAGTCACAGCTCCTAATGTGACCTCCACAGGGTTCCAGGAACCCCATTTGCAAACACTGCTCTCTCCCTTGGCCACTCATATCCTAAAAGCTTCATCACATCATTGGTCCATTCCTGGCCCCTCTGTGGGGAGATGCCACCAGCTCCTCTTCTCCAGCTAACCAAGGAGACTGGGTCAGCACACTGGTAGTCCCTAATGAGTAATGGGAAACAACCCAAAGGTCCATCAACAGGTAGAAATGGATGAACGAAATACATTATAGCCACACAGTGGAATATCGTTCAGCTTAAAAAGGAATGAAGTTCTGATCCATGCTACAACATGGATGAACCTTGGAAGCATTACACTAAATGAAAGATGCCAGACACAAAAGGCCGCACAGTATACGATTCCATTTAGGAATTTATGAAATGTCCAGAAGAGGCAAATCTGTAGAAACAGACAGTATGGTTTAGTGGTTGTCAGGGGCCAGAAGGAACTGCCAAGTGGATAGTGATTGCTTGATGGAAACTGGATGAAAATGTTCTGGAATTAGTGGTGATGGCTGCACAACTCTGTGAATATACGAAAACCTCTGAATTATACACTTTAAAAGGGTGAAATTTGTGGTATGCACATTAGATCTCAATTTTTTCAAAAAGCGAAGCCTCCCAGACCCTGAGTGTTCAGGTCAAGCTCAGCCCACTGCAGGCAGTCCAAGCTCCCGCCCACCCAGCGGTGGCTGGTGGGTGAGGAACTCCCTCCACCTTTGAGAGTCAGCAAGGATAACTGATCTTCTTTCCCAGGGCTTGATATATCTCCGATAATTGGCACGTTGGGAGCCCTTATCAAACTGCTAAGTGCTAACATTATCATCATTAGTAGCAAGAATGCCAAATGCTCTTTATTAAAGGGAGGTTTTCATTGAAAAGCTTTCATTTTTTAGCTCATTCTTCTACTTTTACAGAAAACCTCTATGAACTGATGGGTTTTTTTGCTAATGTTTTCATCTTGTTAATCTCCTAAGCCTTCTTATTGCTGTGTTTTTCCTCAAAAATCCCGTCTGGTGGGAAGCCTCGTAAGCAGTTTCCAGAGCAGAGAATGAAAATTAAGTTCAGGGTGGCCCGGTTGGGCACAGTGGTCATGAGCCCACCCACACTGCAACTGCACCTCTCTGCTGGGCCCACCTCTTCCAGGTGCTGGGAAGATGACCTCACTGGGAACAGAATGCCAATGAATTAAATCATTTTACAGGAGGACATATAATTATGGAGAGGAAAGCAAAGTAAAAGAGGTTCCTCTGCCTGTGTCTCAGGACGGGATGGGAGGGTGGCCAAGTTCTGGGACACCACATCCTATGATGGTCTTTCTAATGTGGCTAGTCCATGGGCCCCAGGTCTTGGAGGGGCCCATCCTTCTATGCTGACATCTCTACTCTCAGTGTCCTACATTAACTACAACCCTCCTGGTGCCAGTCTAAGCCTTTCTCTCTTTGGCCTTCCATTTCTGCTTCTTCTTTGCCCTCCCCTTGGCCCCTCCAACAGAACTCATGAGGAAGCCAAGGAGGTGGGCTGCCTCTGCCATCTTGGTTTAAGGCTTTCTTCTGGCTCTGTTGGACCTGCTCCTTATTGGTGGCCTGGCTGCTATCTTCCTCCTGCACAGAGGTTGTATGGGCGGGAACAGCCACGGCTACAAAAGGGAGCCTTGTCCAAGCAGGACAGAGTCTGCAGTGAATTCCACCATAAAGAGGAATGCCCCATCCACTCTCTGGTGCTCCAGGATTCATGGATTTCACATGATTCCCTTGCCATTCCTTCTCACCTTCTTTCCTTATTCCTTCTTGAGACTTAACAGCCTCACTTCTAGCTGATATGGAGACTTTTTTTTTTTAAAGGTTTTATTTATTTATTTGACACAGAGAGAGAGATCACAAATAGGCAGAGAGGTAGGCAGGGGTGGGGGTGGGGGGGGACCAAGCCCCCTGCTGAGCAGAGGACCTGACTCCAGGCTTGATCCCAGGACCCTGAGATCATGACCTGAGCCGAAGGCAGAGGCTTAACCCACTGACCCACCCAGGCACCCCTGACATGGAGACTTTGTGTAAATTAGAAAAAGCCTCTACTTTCTTAACATGCTGTTCTGCCATTGATTTGTTATTTGTCATATTTAACTATAAAACCCGCAACGAATACATGAAAATGGTGCTCCCTGGAGTTGTACACCTTACACAACTATAAATGGTGAATCTGGACTTACCTGTGGGTCATTTCCCTACAGATGAATACTGTCACCCTTGGAGGATGAGGCATAGGATTGGAATTAAGTGAAAATGCAGCTTGGGGTTGGATTAGTTGGGATTTTTATGTTTCTTGCTCCCCACTTACACAGCTATGAAGGGTTGGCATTAATGAGTAGGCCATGAGCCCTGGCAAGTGTGTGCACTTCACTCCTACAGACAAGGGAGTGATGTCTACACACCAACACGTGTGTGTATACTTAATGCACCCACTGTTTCCCATGACCCATTACCATTGCAGAACCACCATAAAAGGCTCAGGTTAACACCTGCAGAAGTCAGGGCAGCATTACTGATTATAAGTTCTCATCTGGGAGCCTTGAGGACTGATGGCCTGATTATCAGAAACACTCCCAGGGTCATTTGCTTTTCTTTTTTAAAATCTCTCCAAAAACTATGTGGAAATTTATGGACACACACAAGTACAAGTGAAGTTGGGAAAATCCGAGTAAGTCAGTGAATTGTGTCAACATCAGTATCTTCATGGTAATATTATAGTTTTGCAAAATGTTACTATTGGGAAAAACCCAGCAAACCCAGAAACCTGATACTCTCTTATAACTGCATGTGAACCTACAGTGATCTCAGTAAAAATTTCAATTAAACATGTCTCCTTCAAGTCCTTGCTGGCAAGACACCAGACTGGCACCACCCATCGGGAGGCGAGGAGGCTTGTACAGTAGATTCAGTACTCCCCCCTATCACTTAGGTCTTCCAGCTTTCCCACAACACTCTGCTGCCACTCCCCTCACACCTGAGTTCTGTCTACTGGATCTAGGTGCTCCTCCTGGTAAACCAGGTTTGCGACATCAAGGCTCAGACCAGGACATACCTGCTGATGTTTGGATATCAGCAAAACCAGGGAAGCATCCTGCCTCTTTCCCTGGCCTTCATTTACCGGCCACTGAACACAGTCATGTCTACCTCTACAATGGCTCATGCATGCTTCTCTCTGCTCACTGGATAAGCCCTTGTCAGACAAGCCCTAGCGTGGACCATTGTAGGGGCCCTGCTGCCACCAGCCTTGTCCCTTTTTAGGTCATCTAACACAGCTGCCAGAGAAACCATTCTAAAATCAGACCTAATTACTGCTTAGAATGCCCCAATTACCAAGTCCAAGCTCCTGTTCATAGTATACAAGACCCTTACGGCCTCATTCTGGGGATCCTCCTATAGTCCCATGTGTAAGCAGACAACCATAAAGGAGCTGGGCAGCCTTCGGCTCCCTCAGCAGTTTGTCTCACTGATGTCCTCTGTCTCGGACATGCACATCCTCCACTTTATAGCCTGGTCTCACTGACTCTCCATGATGTAGACACAGCCTGTGTTGCATAGCATAGCATTCACCAACTTCCACAGGATCTTTCCGTTCCCAGTGCCCACACCTCTAACTATGCTGTCTGCCCCTAACCAGATTCTGAGACAGAGAATCTAGATCAATTTGGGTGAGCCGCATCCCCTTGGTCTGCTCAGCTGTGATTAGGGCTCAGAGTCACAACCACCTCATGCCGGGGCTTTCAATAGGGACTCGCTGAGAGGGAGATGCTACCAAAGAAAGTTTTGTGAGCTAGACAGGTCCACCTGCATGTCTGCTTCAGTATCCCTGCCAGCTCTCAGCACATCTCCTGCCACTCCTCCATTCCCCCATCCCACATCCTAAACCTCCATCTAGCCTCCAGCCCCACCAATTAATGACCAACATCACACCTGTACATGAGTTGTATGCCCTCCCCACACACACCCTCTTCCTTTCCTGCCTCCTCCTCTCTCCTCCTACAAGCACCATCTTACAAAAGTCATTTTCTTTCTCCGTTAAACCGCACTTGACTCCCAGGGACATCTTAAATCTTTCTCCATTTTTCCTGCTGTGCCTGGTACATACTCCCATCATAGCAGTGATCCCTCCTACATCCCTGTGGCTTTACAGAGCTGTCCCGACTAGGATGTGTGTACTTAGAGGGTGAGGACTAGGTCTCCTGTCTTGGTTCCCAGACTCATTACAGTTCCTGGAAAAATGGCTACTCCGCAGATGTTGAGTGGGTGAGTGTGTGAATGAAGGGGTGGATGAATGGATAAGTGTGGTCTTCACCTGTCTTCAGAGACCGGGAAGCCCAGCGTGCACGGTGTGAGACTAGGTGGCCGTGAAGGGAACGGTTTTGCTCAGCTGTACCCACCATGAATTCTTTCTCTCCCAGACGGGGTTGACCGGACCTCCACAATCTAGAAGCTGAAGATGAGAGTGACCGCGCTGGCCGTGAAATCGACTGCTGCGGGTCCAGTGTCAGCCATCTTCAGGGTTGCACAGAATCCTCCGAGATACTTTGCAGCCTTTTTTTTCCCCTGGTCCCTCTCCCATTTTGATTTTGTGAGAGCGTAGGTCGTCCTTGTAAACATATCAGTAGACCGGGGATTGGTTATTTTGTCGTTTGTTTCTGTCACGGGATGGCTTGGTGTGCGGGGTGGGGAGGGGTCTCTAGGGAAATGTGGGGCTGGGAGGGGATGGAGAGGGAAGGCTAGTGGCTTCCTGGATGGAGAAAGGGGGAGAAACGAACAAAAAGAGTACCGCTGGCAAAGAGCTGGGAGAGACGAGGGAGGGAGGCTGAACCCTGGGCCCAGGCGCCCCTCACAGCCCGCCTCCACAATCAGGCCCCAGGACGCAGTCGTGGGCGAGTGCGACCAAAGCAAGATGGCGGCCCGCCCTCCCTGCCGCCAGGACCGGCTTTACCTGAGGACCCGGCTTGGAGTCGAGCCGCAGCAGAGGGCCGCACGGCCCCGGCGGCAGAGGGGGAACGTTCCCTTCAACAAAATTTCAGAGAAACTTTGATTTGTGTATTGTTTACATAACAATTTTAAAGGGTACATAATGTGTAAAGAGTTTGGATAGAACTTCTCTTCATACTATGGTTTTTGTAAAGGATTTGTTGATATGGATTCATTTCTTTCCTCTATTTTTATAATAGCAGCAGGGTTGTCTCTCAAAATGGCTGCCAAGCCGCGCTTGCCCGGAAGGCGGATGCGTCATGTAGGCCGAGGAGGCGTCCGTCTTTCCACCGCGGCCCGCGCTCGGCAAACAGGTGGGCTGGTGGGACGAGCACGTGACCGGAAGCGCGGGGAAGGACCGCACTGTGTGTGTGATCAGTTAGGGTCGGCTCGCAGGTCACCGTGAGATTCTGAAAGAATCCTGCGGCCCCTTTCTGGGCTGGATTTGCTTCTCACCCAGAGACACCTCTTCCTCCCCACCCTACGGTGGGGTTTCATCCTATCGCCCTCTGCCTCACTACACACACACACACACACACACACACACACACACACACACACACACGGGTTCAAGTTCCACTGGAGGAAAAATGGCAAGGACCGACATTTTTCCGTTGCGAAAGGCCTTAATGTCAGCTAATGAGCTCAAAAGACCACTTCCACTGCGATTGCGCAGAGGGACCTGAGCCTGGGGGCCGCGTGCCCCTGGCTCGCTCACTGCTGAGGAAGGGGAGAGGAGCCAGACCCGGGACAGTGTCTAAGTGGTCAGTCAGCAAGTTGCAGAGAGAGCGTGTAGGGAGACGTGCAGTCCACGCGGCCGGGCGGGCTGTGAAGGAAGATGTGGGAAAGGGCGGCTTCAGGATGGAAACGTGGTTCCCTCCACGTGTACGTCAGGGGTTTGCTGTGTCGTTGGCGGATTTACCTATCCGGCCGCACAGAAGAGCGAGAAAACCAGCCCTGACTTGACGATATTAACTGTGCTACCACAAAGTAATAGCTCTGTTTCTTAAGGGCAAGAAAGACTACGTTTGGGATTCGAGGCAATGGAGGGTATTAAAGGAAATCAAAGAGGAGTTGTGCTGTGCACTGGAAAATTGGTTTGTGTAAATGATGGTATGAATGCTCAGCCAGAGGCGAGATCAGGGAGACGGTATAAGACCTGTTTATTAAATGGGTGAGTCTGGTGCCGTTGCTTTCGGCGAAGGCAGAGTCGAAAATTGAAGAGCTTGGACCATGAAAATCACTGCGCTTGCCTATGGTTATTTAAAAAAAAAAAAAATTAATGAAGTAAATACAGATTTAAAAGGCCTTAATGAAATTTAAACAACTTTCTTTTACCTTCAAGATTGAAAATGTGCACCCAGTTCAGCCTTGCTTTTGAAGTTTTCTAAAGTTTAAAAAGGTGGGAGCATCTTAACCGTAGAGCGCCTTTAGCAAGGGAAGGGGGCTTGAACCCACCACATCACATTTTGCATTAGGACAGAACGACCTCCCCTTCGGGGACTACATTCTAAACATGCAAATCCATGTGCAGAAAGGGGCAGCAATTTTTAGTGTGTGTGTTTTTTGTTGTGTTTTTTTAACCAAGTGCCATTAACATTCATCCTCCACACCCCTTTTCTAAACAAGTTTAGTGTTACTTGGGGAATGTGTTGGGATGGACGATCACATGTAAGGCTGGAAGAATAGATCAAAAATGTTGAAGGCCAAAGGTAAGACCAGAGGGTTTGTGAAGGTGTTTTTTGGATGCTAAGAAAGTTAATAAAGAGAAGAAAAAGCAAGGGTATTACACATCTTGTGGGGAAATGAGAAAGCATTCAGATCTGCTGCAAAACACATATATCCATAAAGACTTGGGTTGTTCAGAAAACAGATTGTGAACACAATCACATTAGCATGAATCCTTTAAAAGGAAGAAGACCTTAAAGTATTTGCAAATCTGGATTTCTATTTATTCCTTCACTGAATATAGAAACAATGGTTATCTGATTATTAGAGATATTATTTTGGATATGTTACTTATTAACTTGCTATGGCTGGTAACCATGATAAAGTCTGTTATTAATAACAACATAATTCTTTTTTTAAAAAAAAAAGAAAAGCTTATTTTTCATTGACTGTGTATAGATTTATCTACTTAGTTGTGTTTTGCTATTAGTGTTTCAATTTTTCTTTTTTTTAAGTTGAGTGTTCTGATAAATTTTAGGAGCCTGTCCCCACCTTGTTTTGAGTCCTGTGTTGACTGCAGGTATACAGCTCAATTTTAAAATCCTAAAGCAAAAGAACTTTATTTATAAAAAAAAAAAAAAAATCAAACAGTTGCATGCGTAAGGCTGTGAAGTCGGATATTTAGTAATAAAGCGGCAGTGCCTTTTTTTGTATTTACCCATTGACCCCCAAATGCAACTGTTTTATATTAATAGTAAACGGTAAAAAAATCTTAGAGGAAAATTTATTTCACTACATGTTTCCCCCCCTTTTTCTGATTTAAGCAGTATGTATTTGGCACCTCTACACTGTCCTAGGGACAGTGGTGGTCTATGATACTGTTACCAGGTATGGTGTTTTATTGGTGCTTTTTATTCATAGTGGTTTCTTACCAGAAACAGTAGGAAGACACACATGAACTGTGTACAAGAATTGAAACATTGCTGCTGATATGTGTCTTTTTCCACACGCTTTTTGAGTTTCACTTTTTGAACAAGGGCCAGCAAGCAAAATAGACGCTGCTGGGTCTGCCTGCAGAGGGCGGCTGTTGGCACCAAGCTCTCAAATCCTGTGTATTGATGGTCCCTTTCTGGTACTCAGGATTGGAACTACCGCTGGGCCCCCATCTCCTATTCCTTTGAAGAGACACTGAGGGAAACAAGGTTTTCTTTTGAGGTGTCACTGGCTGCCTTTTACGGAATGGGAGCCTTCTCCGGGTCCTGTGTTCTTCTGCACCTCTTGTAGCGACTGCCAGTGCAAGGTTTGTAGACGTGCATTCCCCAGTTAGCACCGGGAGTCCCCCCAAAAAACCGAGCTGGGCTGAATGCATAGGCATGCAACCAGAAGGGCAGCGAGGGGCGGAAAAGCAGGTCCCGGTCTCGTTGGCCCTCTGGAGAGGTCTGCAGGAGGCGGCTCTGGCTTGGGTACAGGGAAGCAGCCTGACCAAGGCATTCGGGCGTGCCTGTTACAAGAAGGACCTGCGGAAGGATCATTTGCACATGGGGCTGTGATAACACTAATGTTGATTTTTTTTTTTTTACAAGTCATCAGAGATGTTTGCAAAGTGAGTTTTATTTTTTTGTAATTCCTTTATCTTTACTTAAAGGTGAATGTGTATTCCTCTGGGAGGAATAGGAAGAAAACAGGAATGTTAATAATGTCAAACAGAAGACTTCCTCCCTTATTAATATATAACCCTCATGTATTTATGCCTAATGTAAGCTGACTTTTAAAAAGCTTTCTTTTGTTGCATGCCCCGTGCAGGCATCCCTATGTACATGCATGCCTCTCGTCCTGTTTTCCTGTATAAAGTTAGTGAACAAAGAACTATTTTTGCCTAGTTCATGTTGCCAAGCAATGCATATTTTTTAAATTTGTCATATATGGAAATAGCATGTTTGTTACATGTAAAGCTTTACTGATATACAGATATACTAATGTTTGAAGATGCTGTTCTTTGCAAGTGTACAGTTTTCAAATGTTGTTACCAGTGAAACACCCTTGTGGTTTAAACTTGCTACAATGTATTTATTACTCATTTCCTCCCATGTAACTAAGAATCATGGCTATATTTCATATCAACGTTATATTGAAAGTGAAGGGAAATGATTAATACAAGGTTTTGTAACACTGGTGTGTGTGTCTTTTTTCCTGTTTGTCGATATGATCGATTAGAAGACAAGAACTGAATCTTAGAAATAAGCCAGCAAGGAAGAATGAGCATGACATCTCTGTAAACAATTACCACCTGACCAGTCTATGCAAACTGTCTTCAACTATGATTCCCTTTTTGTTTTTTAACGAAAGAGGAGGGGTAGAGGTATAAAAATTTATGCTACTTGATATGTGCCCCGAGTAGTCAACATATGCATCACCTGACTTGAAGGCATATTTTTAAATACAAATTCTGTCCTTGTGGTTGATAATGTTTATAGCTTCCTCTCCATCTTCAATGTCTTTGAGATCATATTTCACCCCTTAACCATGGTATAAAGAAACAACAGCTTCCTTGGAACCTTGACGTTTTAACCACATATGGCTTGAATCTCATACTACCTCTGATTCAAGTATATCTGATACAAATAATGGCTATTAAGCAAATGGTTGAAGAGCCTAATGTGGGTTTGAAATCTCTGGCTGTGCGATATTCAACAAGTTACTTAACCTCTCTGAGCCTTGCTTTGGTTTGTTTTTTGGCCTATGATACTCAAGGTTTATATAATTAAACCTGTAATCCAAAAAAGAAGAAGATGAAGACAAAAGAAACATAGTATATAGAAGTTATTGCCACCAAAACTTAGCAATCCAAGGTTTCTCTGAGGCAAACACAGCTTGACGTTGTAAGAATGACCACACACCCGACTCTCTCTTCATCAGGCTCAAGCTGCTCAAGTGACACACAAAATCCAAAACAGTCCCTGGAAATATGTAGAAATGCCTCATAAGCTGAAATATTAAATGAAATCCTGCCCAGAA